ACATCAACTTATGTTTAGAAAGAAAAATAGCCAAGTTTTATATTATCTCTCTACTCTTTGTGTTATCAAGGGCATAGGACCAACTAACCAACTTATGGATGAGTCGGCCTGCCCAAAGTTACCGCTTAATTTTATAATCTCATTTTTCTCCTCTGCTTTATCTGCTACCGGCTTATATGGTTAGATCTCCCAACTTATGGCGCCCAACCTGCCAATGATGTACGTAGTATATACTTATATCAGATTGTCTGCTAAGGTTCCACTTATGTTCGCGGCTCATGACTTGATGACACCAACTTATGGTGTGACCACCTGCCAAAACAAGTAAACATAAGGCATAGGACTGATCCACACCAACTTATGATGTGGTCAGTTTCTGCCTAGACAATCGACATAAGGCGTATGACCGGGCCACACCAACTTATGGTGAGGCTGGTCAGTGTGAACATTCGGCATACACAAAGAACTGAACCACCTCAACTTATGAGGGGTCCCGCTTTTGCCTGAACAAACGACGAAAGGCATATAACTAGACCACACCAACTTATGGTGTGGCTAGTTAGTCCATACAATGACATATAGCGTAAAACTAGGCTACTCAACTTATGAGTAGTTTAACTCCGCTTAGACAAGCAACAGGTGTGTGTGGCCGAGCAGGCCGCAACTTATGCGTGTCCCCAGCCTCCGCAACTCAACAAAAAATAAAGTCACATTTTCATTCTGTTTGAATTCACACAAGTAATCTGAATTCTCATACACACTTGTTAATTTAGCCTTTCAGATAATGTCCTGAAATGAAAGCAATCAAAAGTAATAGCTTTCTCAGTCATACCTGCAGGCACACAATAACAAAGGGTAATACAGTTTTAAGGTAAGGGATCACACGCGTAAAACGAGCATTATACCTGAGTGTTCCCTGCCTCTAGAACCCCGCCTGGGCTCCTGCAGAGGTCCCGCAATCGGTGGGTGGACCTCCCACAAGGTCTTGTTGCGGTCCTACGGGTTGCAATCCCGCCTGCCGCCTTCCTCTCGTAACCTCATACTAGACTTAGAGTAAGAAGGACAGAAGGAGGGGTTTAAGACGCCCGAGATACAAGAGATGGCCAACTCAAATTATGTGAGAGGGCCTTGTAATCTTCAATCGCCTGAGGGCCTTGCAATGATGGCCGAACCGCAGCCAAAACGCAAGTAGCAGCGTCCTGACAGTCTCTCAAGTCGCAACAGTAGCCCGTCCGCAAAGGTCTGGTCAGACTCTCAAAAACCGCCGCACTCCAACTGTCGACCGAGGATGCAATGCGCGGTCTAGAAACACACCGTTCAAATTGAACACATCCCCATGCTCTACTTACGACATAATAATCGCAGTCGAGTTCAACTGAATGGTGCTCACACAGTGATTGAGAATGCAACAATACGGCAAGGTGAGGTCAAAGTAGCGATCCGCCTTATACAAGCTCAAATAGCAGGGTCTGACCTGGGTGTTTAGCAAGTTCACCTCGTCCTCAACAGTTGCGTGCAACAACTGGACATTGTACTAATGCACAGAGCCATAAAAGATCATAGGTCACTGTACCATATAGCAAGTGCATCAACGGTGTTTGCTCAGCAACCCAACATGGTGCAGCCAATGCGCAGTGCAAACGATCAAAATACGATCAGGATGCAGAGTAACACCCTCTTACTGGAGCTAACCACTTCCTCAGACCGCAATTTCTCTACCTCGGCCCAATGTATCGTTGTGCAGCCTAGAAAGGTTTGGTTTGAATAGAGCACTCTTCGTGCTTTATTCGAAACTTACTAAAACCCCACTAAAACTGCACACACAACACCCGTGTGCAGCAGCCAAATTGCGCTGCAGTGCCCGGTCTGCTTTCACAAACACTTTCGCACTGCACCCAGTAATGCACAGTACGAAGTTTGGTCAAGACTTAGCAAGCAACGAGTGTACAATAGTTTTTCAAAGTAGCACAAAAATTAGCACCACCAAAACCCGTAAGGTCCAACAGTAAACTCAGCAGGACTGCACAGTGGTTGTAGCAAGCACAACTACCGCAGGAGGCACAACGCCCTACGGTATTTGGCCTCAATAGAGAGCTTAGTATAGCACAAATAAACGCAATAGTAAAAGGGACTATACTCAACACATCAGCAGTGCCTTGCGATACAGACGTGTATAGTAGTAATCTCGGTAGTTGCCCAACAGATGAAAAACACGATCCGCACCAGCTGAGACACAATATCTTGCTGTCGAGAAACCAATCGTCCTCAGCAGCAGCTCAGCAGAAGGAAAACATTTGCAGCAGATCAATACCTCGAGCATTTAGCAGCAGCGACACCTCCCTGAAGAAGAACAACAACCTCGGTTATTTAGAAACTAATTGTTGTAGTGTTTTAACCAGCGACCTGCAACTATCGAGAATGAGAAATGTAGGCTAGTGATGGCTTGAGACAACTAACTGCTATTGCTAAAACAAAAACCAATAGTTGTAAAAAAAATATTTGCGCCTTGGGATGGGAGTCTGTCATGACCCTCGTGGTCCCACAGGTCACACTACATTCAGCCACTACAACATAGACAATTTTACAAAAAAAGCACAGCAACTCGAAGTGGTGGCCGCAGGTTACCAGAAGTGACCCAACGCAGTCCCTAACTGCGACAATGACCCTGACCCTGATCCCAACAGGTCACAGCGCAGTGTGAAAGTCAACAGCTATGCTGATGTTGGTCTGTTATCTCGATTGCACTCTTCTCGTCCGAAAGTATGGGGGTTGGACTTGAGTCTGTATTTCAACAGTTCAGGTACATACTGGCGTGATACTGCTGTGAAAAACTCGTTAGTCTAATATAGCCCATTGGGGGAGTGCAACATTTCTCTACCAGTTGTCAATGAGCCAGCATAGCATGATGATCCCTGTTCGATTCCCCACCACTTCACGGTCTTGCCTGTTCGCACTCGATCCTGCCTAATGCTTGTACCCTGGACCCCTAACCTGGTTCATGCCACACCCGAGAACGTAGTGAAGTAGAAAGTTGGCCTTCAAGAGAACAAAGGTGACCCTTATTTCAAACACAGTTGGAATTGCAACTATGACGACAAGATGGACATTTGAACGATGAAGACGACCACCGAGTTGAACACGATCAGAGTGAAGACAAGGCTCGTGATGACGGACAACCGTGTGTTGTATCTGAGCACCGCTCCCCTACTCACCAACTGTGCAAAACGAGATCGAATCTTGTCCGAGCACTTGGGAAAATACCGATGCTGTGGAAATAATTTGTTGTTACTCTTGCCCCTGCCGCTAACTGCCCCGGAAGCTTGGCTCAATGCAAATGAACTTTCCCTAGAACCGGGGGGGATACATTAACAATTTTCTTTGTATAATTTTGCTACTATATCCCCTTTTTGACATGCGATCCTCCTAATACTCCCCTACCTATTCAACTCTCTCAATTCTTCTGACGAATCTCCTCCTCCTTGCTTGTCACTTTCCCATTCCCACAACACTCGTTACTCTCTCACTTTCTCTACAGTCTGTCTAGCACTAAGATAAAACAAAAACACTACTTTATATGCTTTTCATTGTCACGACCCCTGGTCATAATAGGGGCGAGGTTCAAGGACTTCAGCCGCAGCAAAAATAAGCACGAACGTGATATGACGAAACAACGAGAACGGTCGCTCGGAGACGAGGAAGGCAACCACTACGAAGATGAAGAGGTCAACCTGGGTGTTGGTGACGGCCACGGGAACCAGCGCCGAGGCAGATTTCACACACCATGGGCAAAATGGGAATGATTCTTCCGTTAGAACATGGTAAAATACGATGGCTGGTTCCAAACTTTCGGCAATGATGGCGCAGCCCCCATCTCCTGTATCGACCAATCCGCTGTCCAGATTCAAAATCTGGTGCGCCCATTCGATTCAAAACGCCCTAAAACCCCCACATAGCATCTTTCCTTGCTCATTTTCATCAAGAAATGAGAAAGATACATCATTTTCCCTTTTCATCCTATATTCACCAACTCCCCTCGACACTCTCCGCCCTCCTCATTTCCGCTCTTGCAATCCACTATGACCCTAACACTAACACTGCCATTGATGTTGCCCAGGCTTGAAACCCCCGAGGCAACTTTTCTCGGCTCTTCACATCCCCCTACTCCCTCTCTTTCTTTCTCTCTCTCTCTCGCTCTCTCTCTCTCGCTCTCTGTCTCCGTAACACATTTGAACTCACTCCCCCTCTTGCTAGATCGCTTGCTCAGGCACTCGCACCACTTTTCCCTTCTAATGCTGTCACAGCGGCAGTATTATGAACCTGACCGTTAAAATGGCTAGATCCATTCGCAACCCATAAAGAACTATGCCACAACTGCCACGCTCCGTTGTTCGGCAAATGTGCAAAATGAGAATGAATCTTCCCCAAGAAGATGGGAAGATGCATCACAGTCTTGCGCAACAAGCCGCAGAACATAGTTGAGCTCCCCTTCCTGCGATCTCATCTTCCACACTGTCTTCCCGCTCCTTCCCGTTGTTTCAATGAACCTCGTCGGAGCCTCGACCAGATGCATGCACTGCCAGAGCACAGGACGCCGAACACCTACAGGGAATAGCGGTCTGAGTACAATCACAACGCAGGCTGGTCAGGAGTGCACGTATCGACCTGATAAGTCACATCCCAATGACAAGTTGGCAAAGACGAGGATGGCTACATCCAAGATGACGACAGAGGCGACCTCCATTAATCTCAAGCGGAGGGGAGAACGAAAGCGGTCATCAAGAGAGGTAATCTTCTTCCATTCTCATCCTCTCTCCCTCTGTGTCTCCGCCCTTGTTGATGTTCATACGGCTTACACTATGCGATCCCTCAGCACTCTCACCCACGGTGCGTCCGCAGCAAGACGGAATATGAAGTCAACCTCTCCGTTTGTGTGTGTTATCCTTACACACGACCATGCTAACCTTCTCTATATCGTTCCAATTTTAACGGATGTCGCGAAGGACTGCTTTTTGAGCAAACACCTCGGCATAATCGTCAGACTGATTGGGACCAGGTAATTCAAAATTGAAGTTCTTCATGCATCAGCTGCAGTGGGCCACGGATCAGGTACGTAGTTCAACAGTTCGTGGGTGTACCTTCTGAGCCAGGATCTTGGGTCCCATGACCGGTCTTGGTACCAATATCGGACCACATCCCGAAATGGAAAATAAGAGAAAGAATTAGAAAAAATAAAATGGGAAGGATGAAGGGACTGCTGAAAATAAAGGGGGAGGGACCCACCGGTACTCCCTCGGTCTTGCTGGCCGGACCCGCCATCGGACTCCCCAGCAAAACTAAGGGGGATAGTCCTACGGGACCCTCAACCCCTCAGTTTTCTTCATAAGACGCTCCCCCGGTCCTTTGTTGCCGGCTGCTGGCCTTGATTCCCGTATCTCCGTAGTGTCAATCCAAGTCGTAACCTATAGGGCTAGGCCCAAGCTTGGATGTAACAGGCGTGGACTTGGTTATAAAGACGTCCGTTTCAAGCCTAGGTCCGTCGGACTGTACCAAAGAGGTCGTACTTAGGCACACCGGCCATTTCTAGGGCTCCTATGTGCGTGCCCTTGCCGTATAAAGGGTTTAGTTTTACCTGCCGCCTTCGTACATGTGGAACAACCACGCCGATACCCAAAATTCCAACTTTCTCAGTAGACTACCATTCCAAAAGACCACACTTTTACCACCCCCGCGTATGAAAACTCCAACTTTTACAGTACTGCCTGCGGCTTCTACCGTTGACAGATATCATGGTTGCCCTAGGACGTCAAGCAGTTTGCACCTCATTGGTCCTAATCCTATAGCACGTAAGCCAACGAATCCGATGACTGAATCTTAGCGCCGATCATTAAATGTCAGTCTCGAATGCGAATGCGCACCTTGTGCGCTACTGCAGTTCCTTCACACTTCTTTGCTACCTCGTGCGGATCTTATTAAACATATCCAATGTCCGCCTAGAACCCATGCGTGCCCTCGAAGTGCACGCCCACTTACTCTCTAATCAGATGAAAAAGTGGGCGCCATTCCCAACCCCTAAGAGTTGGTTATGGTTACACAAAAATGGGACACTCTCTCAAATATTGTCGAAAATGCATTTTTCGCGAGATGCAAAAATGTGCCCAAATACCCTTGTAAGGATATTCGGGCTTACAACGCCGTTTCGCCAGCCATGGGGATGTCACCTTACTATTGCGACCTCGGCTATCACCCTCGTGTTCCCTCGGACTTCCTTCGATCGTCACAGATGCAGCCCGACACTAGTTGTTCCACGATGGATAATTGGGTTGCACACATGACGTCGATCATGAAAACCGCGCTTGAGCACATAGCCGCTTCCTCGACTTGCATGGCCGCACACGCGAACCGATCGAGGATGGATCATCCATTCAAAGTTGGTGATGATGTGCTGATCGTCACAGTTGCACCCCGACACTAGTTGTTCCGCGATGGATAATTGGGTTGCACACATGACGTCGATCATGAAAACCGCGCATGAGCACACGCGAACCGATCGAGGATGGATCATCCATTCAAAGTCGGTGATGATGTGCTTATCGACGCTCGCCATTTACAACGCGAAGCGGACATGTTTTGCAATTCCGACGTCGCTTCTTCGGCCCATGCCGCATTCTCCAGGCCGTCGGTTCTAATAGGACATCTAGCCCGGTCAACTTTTGTGTGAAGCTGTCGGAGTACCTACGCCAGGCTCGTGTGCACGATGTTTACCCTACCGCAGACTGTCTGAGCGTTTCGCTGGACGACCATACGAGCTCCCTCCACCCATCATGGTGGACGACCAAGAGGAGTTCCTCGTTTCAGACATCATTGTCGCCAGGTCACCAACGACAACCCTCCTCACGTCGAGTATCTCGTACGTTGGAAGGGTTACCTTGATGAGGAGTATACCTAGGAGCCCCTCGAGCACTTGCAACACGCTCGCATGTTGGTGCATGCCAATGACTGTGCTCGTCTTGTTGGGTTGACTGCTCCTCCTCAGCCCACTGACTCTCCTCTTTCCCCCTCGGCTGAGGAGACCGCTGAAGTCGAGCCTGCTCCATCTGAGGCAGACCTTCAGCAGCAGCCGGATGCTTCTGAGCGTCCACAGCGCACTCGTCGTCGTCCTGTGCGATACGACGATTATCTCTGACTTATCTTCCCACGTCTTTGACTTCTCAGTACTCCATATCCACTCCAGTTTTACCTCTTCAGCTCGTCGACGTTGCGGCTTTTCCTCGACGACATTCCAGACTTCTCATCATGGACGTCATTGACAGCTTCATGGACTTCATCACGATCAGCTCTGGCTTCTTCAGACGTCGTCACTCTCTTACCACTTTACCCTATACATTACCCTGGTCGTGTCGCATGATGATCTCCCTTCGCCAGCTTTCGGGACCGTAGCGTTGCCCTGGCTTCCCAGCTTATGGACTCAGGTCCGACTCTCCCCACCTTAGGAGTCATTTGCATGATTCCCTTACCCATCACCTTTTCTGCCAGCCCTCGCGCCGTAGTTAGGCTGCCTTGCATGCTTCATCTAGGTGCGCCCAGTATACCAGACTCCCTTATTTCCTTGCGTGGTCGACCCTCCATAGCGGTCACCCCTTTAGTCGAGCATTACCCGCCCTGATGGTCTATCTGCTAGGGTCATTGGTTCTATTCGCTCCCAGTTCCCTACCCTCATTGAGCCTGATGACATGTGTCTCCTTGTCATTATGTTTGGATGCCCTTAGGAGTTTATCGATCCCTAGGCTGCATTCGCCACCCTCAGAGACCATCCCACCCTTTGGTTGTGACACACTTCTCCTGTGACATATGGTTGTCTTGTTGTTGCTTTGTTGCTCTCAGACCATGGCTACTGCCTCTAACATTTCTAGGATTTAGTTGTTTTTGCTTTTGCTGTTCTTAGGACTTATAGACTAGTCAGCTGTTTCCAGACTGAGGCTACTGCCTCCAACATTCTAGGATTTAGTTGTCATTACTTTTTGCTTTCCTAGGACATGTATACTAGTTAGTTGCTTCCGCTTTCACTTAGGCTGTTAGCAATGACATTGCTGTTTTATGACATTTTCTATCGCATCGCATGGACTCAGCATGGAGCTTGCTCCACATCCTAGACTACGTGGGTTTTCTTTTTCTTTGGTAGAGTTCCGCTTCTTGGTGGAAGCGTGCTTGTATCTAGGCAATCCATCACAGGTCGAGAATCGTGTAGCGGACCTCTGGTTGGCCTGTGAGTCCAGCCCCTTGGCCTGTTCTCACAGGTCTGTGTTGTATTCGGGGTAGTCCAGTCCAGGCCGGTACCTTTGTCGGTACCAGCCAGTCCAGTCCAGTCATGTCAGTCCGCTGGGGTATACCCCAGTTGTTGTCTGTTTTTAAGGTCATTCTACATTCGCACAGCTTGGAGTATGTGCGTTGGAGTCTCGCGTGGGAGCTGCGCTGTGCCATCTTGCTCCACTCTCGTCCTCCATCTCTATCTCTATCCCAGGCCTGGTGGGTCTGCCACAAGCGCTAGCTTGGAGCAGCGCTGTTGGGGAAGACGCAAGGACTCGGAGGAGGGAGAAGGACAGGAAGGGGGAGGAGCGCTAGGGGTACTTACCTGGCTATGGTGGCAGCCATCTTGCTCACCTTGGTGGGCGCTGCAGCAGGAAGACCCTAGCGGGGGTAGAGCCACACCAAGAAGCTTCGAGGCAGAGTCAGGCATGGCAGCCTGAGCTGGAGCAGCCATAGCTGCTTTGGGTTGTCCTTAGGGCATGGCCCAGTAGTCCGCCATAGCCTCGGCCTATGAGAGTGAAGAGCGAGGGAGGCGGCCATGGCTATGGTGGAGCTCAAGTAATACCTGCAGTAGAAGAGGAAGTCGGACATGATACTGGATCAGCCATTCAACATTGTATTATTATTTCTTGTATGAATAAGAGAGGAGTAAAAGAGGAGGAGAGTGTTGGGCGAAGAAGAAGAGCTTTGTCATTTGTCTATGCTGGTGTACATCATCTTCTTCTTCGTTCTTACTTCTCCTTATTCTTCTTACCCTCTCTCTCCTCTCAAGTTCATTCATTTCTTTCTGCAATTGGACGACATTGTACTCCCTACATAATTATCCAGGCCCTTCTCCCCTTTTGGCGCTCGGCGCCCAGCCTACTCCCTACACAGCTACTATCTGCCTACTAATTGACAATACAACTGTTGACGTCAGCAGCCAACGAAGTACTTGAAGATGTCGCCCAATGCAGACCATCGCCAATACCAGGTATGTGCCCTCACATCATCATCATCATCATCCTTCTCTCTCTCCCTCGACTTTCACCCACGTCTTCCTTCTGTACACCCGAAGCCCTAGCTAGCTGTGGAGGCTGGGCTATGGCGCTGCCCTCAGCAGCGCCCTTCTTCTTGCACGACTGCACGTGCGCAGCAACTTGCCCTTAGCGCACAGCAGCACGCGAGCGTACGCTCCAGCAGCACTGCCGCACAAACTGCCAAGTGCCTGAATGAGCCTCCAGGCAGTGAGCTCTTTCCTATATGGAAAGAGTCTGTGCCTTTGCCCAGAAGCTTCCGAAAGGCCCCAGGAGGCTGGGCCTGTGCCCAGAAGCTTCCGAAAGGCCCCAGGAGGCTGTGCCTCTGCTGCATCTGCTGGGCCTCGGTTAGTTAGGCTCCCCAACTGTCTGTGTATGTTGCTGCGATTCCTGCCCGGGGCCTGAATGTTAGAAAAGGCCTGGAAGGCTGAAGAAAGGCTTTCCACAAGGCACGATTCCTGCCCGGGGCCTGAATGTTTGAAAAGGCCTGGAGGGTGGGCACGAGGCGCCTCAGCCTGAAGGTCACTGTGGGGGCTCATTCCTCGCAACAGGTTCACAAAGTCAAGTTCGCTGCTTTTTCTTTTTGAACATTCTATCGTGTGCTGAGTGTGCTGGATTTTCCTTGGTTTGCAGGTGTAATGCAAGTGGCTCACAGTCTCCAATTACCCTGATAACAAGCCAATCACAGGGCTTAGGTGGATCATTCTATGACCCCACCGGTGAGGTGCTGAAACCAATTGGGAAGGTCAGTATCAAGCAAATGCCGCGTGGAATGGAGTGCTACGGCACAGAGAAGTATGTGGTGAGATGGCAAAGCCTGTGGAGTGCAGCTACACATCCAAGCTTTTTCCCAGTCGGCGCTCGGTTCTCCCACTTGGTTGGCGCCTCCCATGATGACAATGCCGCTCTGTATCAGATTGGGTCAACAGAGTACCCGAGCTTGATGGTAAGTTGGGTACATATGCGGTCTGATGTTTGTGGAAAGTGAACATGGTTGGAGGATCGTCTACCCATAACACCAAAGCTTATGTTTGACTACTGCTGATGGTGGATGACTGTTAAAGGGTTTGACTTATGTGATTACACGCCTTGCTTTTTCAATCAAGCAGATGGAGGCATGATGATGATGATGATGATGATATGATGATATGATGTTGTTCAGCAAGAAGTAGGTGATTACATCGCTTGCTTTTTTAAGTGAGCAGATGGGAGGCATGATGATGATGATGATGTGCAGCAATTAGTAGGTTTTGGGTAATGTGTTGTCATGGGGTGAAGGTGATGATTGGTATGATACATTGCAAAGTTTTTGGGCATGATGTGTTTGATGTATAGCAGCCTCCCTTGAGCAGAGTTGTCCACGTCAAAGGCTTTGTTGTGGCCCATTGGATGATGGAAAGGACTTGGTGACTTGGTCATTGAATCTGAAGGAACTTTGGGAGGAATAGTATGTGGAAGAGTGTATGCTGTACCATAGACGGGAAGAGGCAAAAGACAAAGGGGCAAAAGGAACTCAGAGAGAGCATAGGCAGGCAGGAAAGGAAGTTTCTCTGAAAAAGGTGTACATGTGGTTTGCAGCGATCCAAGGATTCCTGACATTCATGAATAAATGTTGGCTCTGCTGTTAACCCTGTCTCTGTCTGGGGAAGAGAGACAGAGGGACGATGGAGGGTGAGCGATGGAGAGACGGAGGGACAAGAGAATGGAGGGATGGAGTGGTGTAGGGATGGAGGGATAGGTGGCGGATGGCGGGATGGACCAGTGGATGGCGAGGTGCAACTAACGTTATTGAATCCAGCAGGATTTGAACAGCTGATCTGTGTGTACCACTAAGCCATGGCGGATGGTGGGATGGACGAGTGGATGGCGAGATGCAACTAACATTTATTGAATCCAGCAGGATTTGAACAGCTGATCTGTGTGTACCACTAAGCCATGCAGCTCAGATGGGTTCTCCTTTGTACATTTTGGGACTGTTTTTGGCTATGCAAACTCACAGGATTTTGTTGGAAAGGCAGACACCAGGCAGCTTCAAGAGGATGTTGGATTAAGCCCCGACACTGGAAGTTTTATTGAAATTCCTCCGATCATGGGAGGGAATGCAAGTGAAGGTGGTGTGGTGACCCAAAGGTTTACGGTCATGGGCCGAAAGGCATTGCTCACTCTCCTTGCGAAACTTCAGCCAAATCGAAGCCCATCGACTTTGTAAGTATGTCGGACCGAACCCAATCTGAATTTTGAGAACTTCGTGGTTGTCTCTCTGAGACTTGTGGCTGATCCTCTTCTACAAACTCCCAGAGCAGCATGGTGATCATGGTGAGCTGGGTTTCGGTTTTATTCCGAAAGCTAACAGCATTGCAGGAAACATAGACAGTGCAAGACCTTTTGTGTCTGCAGGGGTGAGCATTTACCATAGGCAACGCCTGCTCCTCAGCTAATTTTCCTCTGCAACCCAACTCCTGCCTGGCCTCTTGTGCTGGTCTAGCAGTCTGCTCCACGTAGTGCTGAGTATCTCCATCACTCCCCTCCTCGTCCCCCTACTCTCCTTTTCCTTTCCCTCCACCCTCCACTCATGCGGACCTACAAAAATGCATACAAATGAGCATCACTATCGAACAGGCAAAATATAAGGCATAGGTGTGCCGAAAGGCAAATGGGCGAATAGTACAATCTTTTCAAAATGAATTTCATGTAGGATGATAATGTGAGGTTGTTTTCAATGTTGGATCTACATCTGTGGGTGGGGAAGTGGTTGTTGTGGTGGCAGTCTACCACACGAGTATGTGGACACACAATCTGAAGATTAGAGCTCTTTAGCTTTTTCTATGTCATACACATGAAAGGCATTCCACGATGCAGACCCCAAATTCGAATTTCAGGGTCAAGGTCTCAGGCCAAGTCGGTCAGTTTCAGAGAAGTCACAATGGGGTGCCTTAGAAGTCAAGTCCAACAGGCACGCGGTGAACAGTCACATCCCAGGGGCAAAGGTTGCGTTCTATAAGCAAAAGACTAAAAGTCACGTCTTATCCCATGGGCAAAGGACACTTTCCTAGGTAAACGTCGTGTCCCAGATGCAAGAGTTACATCCCACAGTCAAAAGTCATGTTCCACAGGTGAAAAGTCGTGACTCACAGGCCCAAGCAGCAGCACACCAATCAAAATTCAAGAAAGTACCATGCCTAAATTCTGAAGCAAGCAGGCCGTGGGGATGTGGTACCTGTATCAAGTCAAACCAGAAGAAGCAGAGGCTGGGACGAGCTGAAGCTCGGTCCAAGTCAATATAAGGACTGGTCAGCCACATTTCAAGCAGATTGCTCATTCGTGAGAAGTGTGGAAGTGCTGCTGAAGCGCTTGTGCGCTATCTGCGAGTAGCATGCGCGCGAGAGCCCTGCTGGTAGCGCTGCATTGAGAGGGAAGGCGGCCATAGACACATAGCTAGTGATTAGAGGTGGAGCTGAGTAGCAGCGAATATTTTCAGAGATAGATTCTCAAGTAGAGAGAGAAGGAGAGAGCGCATGCATGAGGAAGACCAGAAGGGAGAGAGAGAGAGAGAGAGAGAGAGAGAGAGAGAGAGAGAGAGAGAGAGAGAGAGAGAGAGAGAGAGAGAGAGAGAGAGAAAGAAAGATTCACCTACCTTTGATGAGGATGCTAGTATTGGGTTACTGTATTCTGCGCTGTTGAGCGCTTGGTGATTGGATCTTGGAAACTGCTTAAACCATCAGTACTTCCTGGAGTCGTGCCCGTTAACGCGCCACAATTTTAGGAAACGTACGGGCTACTACAGGAGCGCCCAAATTCATCCGACTAGAAGCGTTTCTACTCTTTTTTTTCCACGGCCGATAGCTGGGCCAAGTACTGGTGGTTTAATATGATAATTTGTTGGAATTTCTAAGGTGCACATATCTGGACTTTACATCTCTGGACTCCAGTGTGGATTTCGTGTGATCGCTCAATGTGTGCGAGTGCGCTCATGGTATCGAAGCTGGTAACTCGCTACATCCGCTGGTGATGAACGCTGGCATGATTAAGGGCGGCGAGAGGAGGTTGGGAGTTTGACGTAGGAGTTGTAGGCCGAAGAACAAGTGGGTCGGTTGGGGGATGGTAAATACGTCCCTGCATGTGTGGAGCGTCGAGGAGCTTCATCAAAGGAACGTTCATGTGTGAAGTGCATCGCCCCCCTAAGCTCTGTATTTGTTTTAATAAACGAATGAGTGTCTTGGTACTTTCCCACATCTTGGTGTCGCTGCTGCTGCGCAGAACACTTGGTGACAATCTGATTTTGTCTTGAGTCAGCATCTGGTCAGAACTATGTGTATGAAGTAGGTCGTGTCTAGGCTAGAAGCTCGGCAGCTGGATGTATCATCCGTAAAGTAGGGAGCATGGGCATGAGTGGCGAGCGCTCGTAAAACAACTCGTATAGCCCTCAGACCGGTACTAACCGGCACGTGACCGAACCGGACCTCACGCAGTGAGGAGTATAAGTCTTGAGAGTGAACCTTCAGATCCTGGTGGGCACGACGTCCTGCCTTTGTCGTTTAATTCATGAGGTCCTTGCTGGTTGACCTTAAAATTGCTGGTTGCCCACGAGCATGACAGGGTAGCTGTAGTGACATTGTGGGTGGGGAGGGAAGAAGTAGACAAGTCAGACTCCAATTTAGAGTAGAAAGATTAAGTGTTGAGGGTTAAGTCTACGTGGTGAGGTGGAGGATACATACTTGTGCCTTTAGTAGCCATAGATGACTACCCAATGTCCGTTTCTTGTTTCCTTTAAGATTCCACCGGACATGCAGCATGGGTGTGACCATGAGGTCTGGTGGCACCACACTGCCATATACCGCAGATCAGCAGGCAAAGATTGATAGGAAGTTGGCCGATAAAAAGAAAGAGAAGGAAGAGAAAAAGAGAAAGGAGGAGGAAGTTGAGAAGAAATTGGAGGAGAAAGAAAAGACGGAGAAGGAGATGAAGAAGAGAGAAGAAGAGTTGAAGGAGTTAGAAGAAGGAGAGGAAGAAGAAGAAGAATAAGAAGGAAGATTGGAGAGAACACGAGCACAACCAGAAGGAGGAGAACTGGTGGAGAGCAGCCATGTTGCGGAGCTGAGACTCCAACAGGTTGAGGACTTAGACTGGGTGGAGAAATTTGGATACAGGACAGAGCTTCCGGAAGAAAGTGAAGAAGAGGGATTATTTTGTAGTGAAGTTGGCAGCAACAAAAAATCAAGAGGCAAAAAAGTTGTTGATTGAGGAGAAAGAAGGGGAACCCCATCAAAAGTTGCTGGCCGCAAGAAGGAGAGAGTTTGAAGAGAAGAAAAGATTGAAGGAGGAAGGGGAGAGACTCCAGACGTTACTGAAAGAACAAAAAGTGAGTAGAAACTGAGGAACGCTGGGACCTTCTAACCGACAC